CCATTTTCAGGCTGAGGAGCTGGCTCCGAGTTTTATGTCAGTCGTGAATTCATACTGGGTAAAAATCTTTGTTGCTCTTCCGAGGGCCCTCAAAGTCCGGCCATAGGCGGAAGAAGACCATAGCTCTCCTCTGCTTTTTCCAGAGATGCAGCCATGGTTTATATCCGTGGCGCCATGCGCTGCGCCATCACGTTACGTGGCGCCATGCACCAGCCGGCCCAGCGCTTTGTCACTTTGTCTATTTTTCTAAAAGCTACCTCAGAAGCTAGATTTTACTTCTTTGAAAACAATTATTTAGAATCTCCCAAATTTTGTCCTTTGTTATGGAGATTAAACTGTTTTCTCCCTTGTAGCTGTCAATGTTCAGCACTGGGGCAAATTAACAGGTAATTGGAAACTTGGAACAAAGGCAGTGTCTCCCTGATCCACAAGAGAGCCGAACGTAAGTTCTCAGTGACTGTCAAGTATCTTATAATCTGAGGGTGGCCAGGTGTGTATGGAGAGGAAGTAATGCATCAGTTAAATCATGAGGACTCAGGAGCCGGGCAGACTCGACTTGGGTTCGCCCTGAATCTGCAACACTTTCCAGACATGTGGCTTTGGGGTAGTTTTGTGAGAATCTGAGGCTCTGCTTCCCCATCTGGGAATAATGATAATAATGATTGTTTTTATATTAATAGTAATAGTCATATTTGTTAAATGTAAATATATATTACATGCATTGTATTCATTACATATAAATACATAATTATGCAATTACAATTATATATACAGCAACAGTAATAATGACAGTACTGTTCATTCATGGTTGTGGTGAAGGCAAATACAGTTAGTATAGTTCTTGGCATATTAGGATTCAGTAAACATTAACCACAGCTGAATCACCATCACGACCATCATCACCTTCACCATCACCACTTTCACCATCATCATCATCATCACCATCACCGTCATCACCATCATCATCTTTCTCACTGTCATCATCATCACCATCATCACCACCATCACCACCATCATCACCATCATCATTATCACCACTATAATCACCACCATCATCACCATCATCACCATCCTCGTCATCACCATCATCATCTTCCTCACTGTCATCATCATCGTCACCATCACCACTATCACCACCATCACCATCATCACCACCATCACCATCATCACCATCACCACCATCATCACCATCATCATCACCACCATCATCACCACCATCATCACCATCATCATCACCATCATCACCATCACCACCATCATCACCATCATCATCACCACCATCAATCACCATCATCACCATCATCACCATCACCATCACCATCATCATCATCACCATCATCATCACCATCATCATCACCATCATCACCACCATCATCACCATCATCGTCATCACCACTATAATCACCACCATCATTACCACCATCATCACCGTACTCGTCATCATCACCACCATCATCATCATCACCACCATCATCACCATCACCATCATCATCATCACCACCATCATCACCATCACCATCATCATCATCACCATCACCACCATCATCACCATCATCATCACCGTACTCGTCATCATCACCACCACCATCATCATCACCATCATCACCACCATCACCATCATTGTCCTCTCCCACCAGGCTCTGAGCTCCTTAAGGGTCAAGACCCTTAGCCGCAGTGCTGGTACAGGACCCTTTATGCAGAAGACAGAAGCTAGAGGAGTAAAGGTGTTCCCTCAAGCAGCCCTTCAGGTCAGTGGCTGGGCTCTGGGATTCCTGACATTCTCTGCAATGTTCCGGTACTGTGTGAGTCCTCTTGCAGATTGCTTACCTGGGAGTACCTGTAACAGATTATGAAGAATACCCATCTCACCGCGCTGTAGGGAGACAGGAATATGGTACCATTTGCTCTTACTACTGCATCAGGTGAGAGTGGACTGCAGAAAGGTCACTTATGGTGGAAATTGTCGGTGCTCTACCTGCCAGACTCGCCACTTCTCCCAGATCTGTCCCCTGCTGATCCTGCGCTGAGCCTGCCACGTGAAATGCCCATCCCAAACTCTCACGTGGCTTTTCGTTTGAGGGCATGGTCCCGGGTGTGCATGCCCTCCCAGGAGCCCTGACTTACTCCTCCCTCGGGGCATCCTCGGGGGCTCGTTGCACATTTGTTTTCCACTTTTCCATCCCATCACCGCCTCAAACATGGCCTAGAGCTGGCTTGCTCATTGTAGTTTTGTGGCTTCCAGCTGTCATCCACTGATTGGATTACCCATGTCAGGACTGTTCTTGCAGTGGGCTCTGCCTGAGGAAGGTGCTGGGTAAGGAAGGGGGTTGAAGAGGGGTAGGTGAGCAAGGGAAGCCGGATTTGTCCGGTGCCTTCTGCACTGGCTGCACCGTGGTTTTCTGGTGGCAGGTGTGAGCACGCAGGGAGCACCCATTGTACATGGAAGGAAAGGGCTTACCAGGGAGCAGGGTGCTCAGACCTCCCAGCTCTCCTCCAAGAGGATGGTGGGCATGATGCAGCTTTCTACATGTTAGTTCCTGGGGCCACTGCAACCCGCTCCTGCAGATGGGGCTTAAACCACAGACATTGTCTCCTGGTCCCGGAGGCTGGAGTCTGAGATCCAGACGTGGGCAGCACTGGGTCCTCCCTGAGGCTGGGAGGGAGCGTCTGGGCCAGGCCTCTGCCCCAGCTGCTGGCAGTCTGCCGGCGATCCGTGGCGCTCCTTGACGTGTACATGCACGCTTCCGTCTCTGCCTTCATCTTCACGTGGCATGTGCACATCTGTGTCCAAGTTCCCCTTGTTCGTAAGGACACAGTCATGGTGGATTGGGGCCCACCCTACTCTGTTATGACCTCATTTTGATGACGTCTGCCAAGACCCTACTTCCAAATAAATTACATGCACAGATAAAGGTGGTTAGGTTATCAGCGTGTTGCAGGACACAGTCAACCCCCAATGGCGTGGATTATTTACGTTCTCTCTGACCCTGACAATAGCCCTGCGAGCTAGGTACGTGTAGGTGCCGTGATTTTCATCCTGGGAACGGGGACTGCTGGGCTGGTGGGTTCGCCCAGGATCACAAGGTTAGTGTGAGCAGTCGGGCTGTAAGCGCCTTTCTGACCGCTGAGCTCCTGCTCCTTCTGGAAGTTTCTGAATGGGGCCTTCTTGATGTTTCTTAGAGCGGGATGGTTCTTCATTGTGCAGGGCTGGCCCTCCCAGGACACAGACTCCGCATCCCTGGCTCTGCCCAAAGTGGGGTGGGCACTCTGTGATCACCCACGATCACCTGCGATCACATGGGTCCCTTGGGAGCAGGTCCCAGCCTGCGCTCCGCTCTGCGTTCACCCGCTGGTAGTCCCTTTGCTGCGGCTGCCATGTGGGGGCCCCAGGCCTTCCTAGGGTGCTGGTATCCAAGGGAATTTGAGTTGGGTGTCTGTGTGGTTGGAACTGGAGGCCAGTGGGGACTCCCGAAACAGAAAGTGGCGAGTTATCACTGCCCCCACCTGGTCAGTCGGGCAGATCTAGTTTGTTGTGCCGGAGTTTCCCGATACTCTCCTCACTCAGCCAGGGCTGGGCGGGGCTTCAGGTAGTCATGAAGCGTCTCTGAAGCGAGCATCCGGCCCCCACCCAGCCTGGTAGCCCCAGGAGGAGCTCTGAGGTTACCCCTGAATTCAGCCTTTGACACTGGTGAGGGACAGACGGAGCATTCATGCCTGCCAGGTCAGGTTTCCTGGGCCGAACTGCTGAACGCTCCTCATTGTTGAGAGCAGTTAGCTTCCCGGAGGCTCAGGCTCAGGACCCACGGAGGAGGGCCTCTGCATTCCTGGGCGTGCAGAACCCCCAGGAGACAGTTGGTCCTAGCCTCCTGTCCTTTCTGAAGGTTTTTGCGGTGACAAAGCAAGCCCTTGAGCTCCTGCTGATGGCTATTCAATAGAACATAATTTTAATTCAATAGAAAACGAGAAAGCTCTGTTAGAAGCAGATGTGACCTGGTGTATGTGTTTTGTGGCTTATTGAACTCTCACAGAAGGGACCCGGGAGCATGGCCAAGGCACGGCCTTCAGGTTCTTAGTGGCACTGCTAGGTTTTTGAAAAGTGTTTGTGATTGATTTGCAGGCACAGTCTACACTATTGAAAAATGAGCTTTTGGGGCGCCTGGGTGGCTCAGTCAGTTAAACGTCTGCCTTTGGCTCAGGTCATGATCCCCAAGTCCCGGAATCAAGCCCCATATCGGGCTCTCTGCTCAGCGGGGAGCCTGCTTCTCCCTCTCCCTCTGCGCCTCCCCACTCAGCTCATGCTCTCTCTCGCTCTCACTCATTCGCTCTCTAAAATAAAGAAAATCTTTAAAAATTGCTCTTGTGGCAACTGATGGGATTTTTAAATCACACTGTGTTTCACTGTTGCCTTCCTCTCTGCTTTGGGAGGGGTGGGCTCGGTGTCCCAGGGCTGTTACGTTCAGAGCCCATGTGGGCAAGCAGATGCTTGCTGTGGACGTTCCTATTCGAGAGGTCAGGAGCGGAGACCTCCGTCCGTACCTGAGATGTCGAAGTGCCGCCTATGTGAAGATTAAATTATGCTGTAATTTGCTTGAGCCGCGGTCCTCACAGTGTGCTTCCCTGAGTTCATGCTCGTGAGAAGTGTAGCAGGGGGCCCGACCGGACCTGCTGCCCCAGGTGCTCTGTTGGGTGGGGGTGGGGGGGGTCGGCACTGTTGCCATGGCGCTGGGATTGGAGAAGCTCCACGCAGGGGCAGGAGCAGCCCAAGGCAGTAAAAACACCACAGATGCCACGGGGGTCTGAGTCAAGGCCACTGAAGCCCACGGTTCCGTCCCCGCCATTCTCCTTTTGTATTTACTCAGGGTTTCCGTCCAGGCGACATCCTGGAACGCTGGGGGTCCCGCCGCGCAGAGGACCTGGATGGAAACACCTGGACATCTCTGGCTGCGTGCCGGGTGGGCGTGGGCTGTGCCACTGACCAGATATCTTGTCCTTCCCCGCAGAAGTGCATCCGGTTTAACCCGGACGCCACCGTGTGGGTTGCGAAGCAGCGGATTCTGTGCTCCTTGACCCAGAGCCTGAAGGACGTCCTGAACTACGGGCTGTTCCAGCCAGCCAGCAACGGGCGGGACGGGAAATTCCTGGACGAGGAGCGGCTCCTGCGCGAGTACCCGCAGCCTGTGGGCAAGGGCGTCCCCTCCCTGGAGGTACTGCCTGCTGCCTCGTGGCCTGGTCACGGGGTGGGGGGCGGGAGGACTTCACGGAACTCCAGATTTGATTTGGATTGGGAAATGACCCCCACATGAAAAGTGAGCTTGGGGTCTTGAGGTGGCCCTTAGTTTTGGGAATTTCAGACACCTGCACGGTTTCCGACGCCTTTGGTTCCTTACTGTGGATTGGATGAATCTGTTGGGGAGAAATCTTGGGATGCGCACACGAGAGGTCTGACTCAGGCTCACGTCACCGGGACCTGCGGGTCTGGGGGTGCAGGATGGGGCTTGTGTCTGCCTCCCTGACTCGGTCTTCCTGCCCTGGGGTGTGGGGTGGCCAGGGGCCGTCCAGCTTTGACCCAAAGCATGACTTCCAGCTTCTTGCCGGGGAATGACCAGGGGGCCCGGACCTGCCGTGGCCGTGGGCCTGCCGTGTGATGGGTCAGTGTGCAAGCTGGGCACCCAGATGCACTTCCATGTACGTGTGACATCAGTCCCTGCTGCTCTGGCCCCCGGCTGGCTGCATCCCCAGGTTCACACAGGTCTTGCCCCGTGACGTATGAGACCGCCATGCGAGCGGCTTTTTTCATGTTGCATGGCGGGACTGGGAGCGGCGGGTGAGGACGCTCACCTCAGCCCCATCAGACAGGGAGACGCCGCATGTGCGGAAGCGTAGCGGGTCCTTCAGCAACCTCAGTGTGTTCTACAGCATTCGCAGTGAGGAGATCATTCTGAGGTCAGGAGATCAAGAACTAAGGCTGGATCTCATCTGCACATTTCTAAGCCTGATAGTGACATTGAGGCTGAGGTTTGGGGATCCCCATGTAGACGGAGCAGTTATCAGCCTGGAGGGAGGGGTTTTGGTGGAGGAAAAGATGGGGTGCCACTTGGCGTCCTGTGGCTCCCTGTTCTGACCTCAGTTTGCTCATCCATAAAACGGGTATCCATTGGAAAAAAATCCCTTGTTGGGGGCCTAGGTACCAGACGCTTTCTAAGCATGTTCACCAGGCACAAGGTGTCAGGGTTCTTGTCTTACGGAGCTGACACTCGAGTGGGAGGTGACAGACTGGGAACAGTAAATGAACGGTTCATTTCAGGGACTGGTGATTTCCGTAATGACAGTGAAGCCCGGCGAGAAGACCGGGACGTCCAGAGCCTCCGCTTGATCCGGGAGGCTGTTGGAGGAGGCGACTCTGGCTGGTCCCCACTCACCCCTGAGAACCGAATGGGAGGGTGTGGGGATGCACAGTAACCTGGGCAGGGTGCTGCTGCTGTTTCTAGAAGGACAGGCACACGCATTCGCCCCCCCAGTGTCCTGTCTGGCCACTTGTGTCCCAGGAGCCGAGCTGAGAGATGTGCGGGGGAGCATCTCTGCTCCTGCGTGTGCATTGCCCCACAGGGGGCTTGGTCCAGTCCTGGGAGCTGTGCAGCCTGAGTCCTCCACCCAGCCTCTCTGGGCCTCGGGTTCCCAGCTTTGAAATCGGGGGAGCGTGAGTCGTGCCTGCTCAGGGGGCCTAAGGCTCCAGCCAGGTGCTCCATGCATGAGCTGGTGAGCTCCTTGCTGTGAGAGACCTGATGTACCTCCACGTAGCCAGCTCCCTGCGCCTCTGTCCCGCCAGGTGACCCTTGGTGCAGAGTGAGACGGGCCTGGCGCTCCACACATCAGGGGCGGGCACGGCCATGAGCTCTTTGACTCCGAGAATTTCCGTAGAATATGGTTGGCTGCCTAGGAAACATGGAGGAAACAGCAGGAAAGGGTTTGCCTTCCAGGGCCTGCATCCCTCTGCGGCCACGAGCTGGAAATGCTGGTGACTCTGGAAACAGACATCCTCCTCCGAGCACTTCCTGTCCTGCCAAGAGGTGGTAGCATTCCTAGTGTATTTTTTTTTTAAAGATTTTATTTAGTTATTCATGAGAGGCAGAGAGAGAGAGGGAGGCAGAGGGAGGGAAGAAGCAGACTCCCCGCTGAGCAGGGAGCCTGATGCGGGGCTCGATCCCAGGACCCTGACACCATGACCTAAGCCAAAGGCAGACGCTCAGTGTCTGAACCACCCAGGCGCCCCAGCCCTAGTGTATTTTTATAACCAGAAGTCCATGAGACTTGGACTCCATTAGACTTGTCAGCTAGTGAGCCCCCACCTCTCCCGACGTCACTACCAGGGACTCCTGAAATCTCAGAGGTTTGATGGGGGAAGACAAGGGGGACAAGGGGCTCCTTGCAGCCCAGAGCCCTGGGCGCACAGACAGATCAGGAAGCTGAGTCTCAGATGGGGGGAGTGTCCGGCCAAAGCTGGTGGGACGCTGCCGAGGCTGGACTTGGAGCAGATGTCTCAGCTGGGAATCTTAGTGAGTGCAAATCCTGACACCCACCCCAGCCTTCAGTCATGTCCCTCGAAGGGGTGGGGGCCCCTGGGCGGGGTATCAGTTGTAGGTGCTGGGGTTCAAGGCCGACTGACACCTGTAGGTTTCTCTTGGGCACTGACTGCCTCGGAGCGAAATGTGTAGTTTCGGGCTCAGAGGAGGCGCTGTGTTTGAGGGACTGAACGTCGCCGAGAGTCCCCGGGTGGGGGGCGGAGGCGGAGGTGGCAGCGGGGACGCTGGCTTCACCAGGCCGGCTTCATAGGGGTGGGCGTGGAAGACTCATCCTGGTTTGTTGACGGGGCCACGCGCACGGCCCTGAGGACCACGATCAGGGCTCATGAGAGGAGCGCCGGCCGTGGCTTCTCCGTGGGAGGATTTGACTCCTCCGTCCCCTCAGGTTGCTCTGGTTTCTTTCCCTGGCTTTTCAGCCACGTGGCCGCGGGCCTTCCCAGGTGCGATTCCTGCGCTGTCAGGGTCTGCAGTAGGAACACGGTGAGTTTACCTGACGTGGGAGGAGTTTGCTGTGGGCCCCCAGCCTTCCGCGAAGTCGCTGAGGACAAGGCCGTGTTTCCGTGGAGTACTCTGTGACGTAGTCACATGTCTTCTCTTTTCCTGTTTCCGTTTCTGTGCAGTTTCGATACAAGAAGCGCGTGTATAAGCAATCCAATCTGGACGAGAAGCAGTTGGCCAAGCTGCACACAAAGGTAGGCGGGGATGGCTGGCTTTCATACACCAGCCTCATGTCTCGTATGTGGCGTTCTGTCTCTGCAGGTCAGGGGAGCTCCTGGGGCACCCTGCTCCTCTTCCTGGGGGGCACCCTCTCACCCCCTGGGCACCTGCCGCGTGCACATCGTGGTGGGCGGGCCCGGGATGTGCAGGGGCACCGGGATGCCTCTCTCCATCACTCCCCGAGGCCCGCCTGGCTGCTCGGGGGCAGGGGTGCTCCGTGAAGCCGGTGGGGGCTCGGGCAGGGGTGCATGAGGTTTCCTCAAGGGCGGGGCTCTGGAACAGGCTGGGTTCGGATATGTGCATGGTAGCGAAGGTGCACGCCTTGCCTGGGCACGGGTGTCCTCTTTGGGCGTGGCCCACGTGGGCCTGACTAAAGCACGTGAATGAACACGCACTCCCGGGTGCCCAGCAGAGCCCCCGGACTTGGCCATGCTCTCCTGGGTGACGAAAACATGCTGGGTGACAACTTGCACGTGGACAGCCTCAGAGGGGATGCTGCTGTGTGCACGTCCCCGCCTGGGTGTTTCTGGGAGGAGGGGAAGCCCTTCTCTTTGAGTCACCACTGCTGACAGACAGGACACATTAAACCGGAGCGATTAAAGAGCTGTTTACACAAACCGCAGGGAGGTGAGTCCCGCCCGTGGCCGTGGCCGTGGCCGGCAGCGGCGGGAAGGAGAGGGTTGAGGTCAAGAGCCATGGGCTGCGGTCCATGAGCGTTGGCTTCCTGGCTGGACTTGCGGCAGGAACTCCTGCCCTTTGTCGGGGTCGCGGTGCGTGTCCACGGACAGGAACTCCTGCCCTTTGTCAGGGTGCTGGGGCTGGAGCGTGGTCGCATCCACGTTAGCGCCGAGGAGGATTCTCGAGGATGTGGCACACAGGGAAAGGCCGTGTCGGGAACTGTGTGGACACTGCCCGTGGCTCACCCTGGTGCTGCCCAGGTGAGCTTACCTGGTGCTGTGAGCCCACAGCAGATGTTCGCAACCAGTGGGCTCCCCTGCCTTTTGTTCTGTCCCCCATTTGTATCACAACGGGTGCGTGGATCTTTATTGTGCTCAACGGGTTATGATGCACCATTATTTATTAATGTGCTCAAGTTGTCCAGAGGTGGCCGGTGGCGGCCCTTCTGCCTGGCTCCCTGCCCTCTGGTGTGTCCCCACCGTCCTCTGAGTACTGACAGCTTCGTGGCACAACTAATGCTCTGGGTCCTCGTGCACATTCCCGCCCAGCCCTGGAATCCGCCTGGGGGGTGGTGTTTCAACCCCAGGGTCTGCAAGCTTCTAGTTTTTTTTTGATGACCTTTTAAAGTATAGATAAAAATGTGTTTTTTGGATTTAAAAAAAATCAATTACTAAAATGTTTCCACAAGTGTGTCTTGTGTCTTTGGGTATTTGTTAATTTTGGCTCTGGAATGTAGGTAGAGTGTGCAGGTGGAGATCCAGCCTGTGTCAAGAGTTCGCTTCTTCAGATGGAGGCAGACGCGATACCGTGGTTATCCTCGGGAGGCTGGGGCTGTCTGCTCCATGGCAGGAAATCATGATTTCTGTTACAGACAAGGCCGGGCTAAGCTGGAGAAACGTCCCTCCCCACCGGGGTTGACCCACGGATCGTTTTGACCCCACGGGAAGTGATTGTCTCTTCACCTTGAATTGCTTTGTGACCAGGCATCCCTGTTTCTGTCCACGTAGTCACAGGGTTCACCAGAAAGCGGATTAGCGGAGCGAGAGGCTCCCCTATCTGCTCTCCATTGCGGCTGCTGCTTAAGAGATTAGACCGCACAAATGTTAATCCTCGGGCCTCGCTCCCCGGAGGTGGGAGTCTGAAGCTCTGGGGTGGACGCTGGACACTGTAGTTTATCAAAGTGGTCCAGGTGGCTCATCCTTTCAGAAGCGAAGGAACGTCCCGTGGCTCTTGGCACGGATGTGAAAGGCGAGAGAGTTCTAGAACCTTCATCCAGGACAGGCTGGTTACATTGCCCGGTGTTGGACTCCACGCTTGGCGCTGGGGCTCCAGATGCAGCGAGCCCCTGCCTGGCGGGTCTGCCGTGCCCCGTGCAGGGACGGCTCCCTCTGCAGACTGCAGTGCACCCTGTAATGAGCCTTCCTGGGACCTGTAAAGGCATTTCTGTTTTTTTATTTTTCCCCTTAGACCAATCTGAAGAAATTCATGGACCACATTCAGCACCGTTCAGTGGAGAAGATCGTCAAAATGCTGGAACGAGGCCTGGATCCGAATTTCCATGACCTGGACACTGGAGGTGGGTCCTGGGTGGGGGAGGACTCCGGTAAGCCTCGCGGAAGCACGGGCGCAGTCCAAAAATGCACTTACACGCGCACGCCTTGCTCCCCCTGCTGGAAACCCACCTCCTTACGCATGTGGGCTGCTCATCGTTCGTGGGTCAGAACAGCACAGAGCTTCCCGAACTCAGCGCCCGCGACCGTGGGGCTGGACAATTTCTTCTTCTTTAAACAATTCCAAATGAGCGGTGACTTTTATTTCATCTTCCCTCCCCCGTAGTTCTATTGAGATATAGCAGATCTGTAACACCGTGTTAGTTTCAGGCTGGGGCTCGGGGTTAGATACTTGGATACTTGGTTACACTGTGCACTGAGGACCGCAAGTCTGGTTAGCACGGGTCAGCACAGAGTTACAGTTGTGATGAGAACTTCTAAGATCTGCTTTCTCAGCTGGGACTGGAAGTTTGTACCGTTGGCCACCTGCATGCTGACCCCACCCCGCCTCCGGCAGCCAGCAGTCTGCTCTGTGTTTTGGGGGTTGGTGCTTTTTTGGATTCGGTGTGTAAGCGGTATCACGTGGTGTCTGACTTAGTTCACTTCGCACGGTGCCCTCGAGGTCCATCCATGCTGTCCTAGTGGTGGAGGATCTCCTTCTTTTTTGTGGCGGGATCGTACTCCATTGTGGGGCCGGACGGCTGTCTGTGGGGGGGGCTGTGTCCTGGGTTGTAGGATGTTTACAGCCTTGCTGGCCTCCACCCCAGGCACTAGTCGCACCCCGAGCTGTGACAGCCAGACTGTGTGCTGACATTGCCCGGTGTCCCCTGGGGCAGAGCGCAGTCCCCGGCTGAGAGCCTGTGCAGTGGGACACGGCGAGCTGGGCTGGCCGAGAGGGCTCAGGTAGTCTTCATGGCACCTGGGGGCGTTTGTCCCCCTAGGTTGGTCACCCCAGGCTGGAGAGCGTTCCCCTTGGACTCAGTCCCTGTGGCGCCCCCTCCCCCACTCCTGGTGACTGGCCAGCTCTGTGCCTGGACCACTGTCACCTACATGAGTTACCGAGCCCACGGCAGGTGCAGGTGTCAGCTCAAGAACAAAGCTTTCTCATCATCGCTAGGGGCTCCTCTGACCCCTGGAGCTGGGGCAGGACCCCACCTGTGCCCATCCAGCCGTGCCCGTGCCCGCCCAGCACACGCTGTGGTGCCGTGATCCGTGATCACCACTCACGCGTGTGTCTCCGCAGTTTAACTTCTGACCACAGCTTCAGTGCCTGAGATGAGGGGAGATGGACATGTGGCAAGGGGGGACACAGAGGGCACACGTGGCTGGGTCACGGAGGGAACACGTGGAGAGGTTGTGTGTCTGTGGTTTCCTCCTTGGGCCAGCCTTTTACCTGGGGACCCATTTGCCTCCCTCCCGAAGCCAACACCCCGAGAAGCCATCACATGTCTGAGACAGCCATGAGTGTGGGACGGCAACCACGGGAGGTGAGCGCTCCCAGGTTGCAGTCCGGGGAGGTGCCCCAGCCGCGGAGGGTCGGGGGAGAACGGCAGCGTGAGGTGCTCCGTGATGACGGTACCTGTGGGCCGGGAACATCGGGGTATCCACCAGCAGTGTGTGTTTCGTGTCTCACACGTGGAGTGTCGTCCATCAGAAAGGTCCTGTCATGTTAGCAGCACAACGGGATCTCAAGGTGTTTTCTCCTTGTTTTGGACCCACAGGGATGACCCGTGGTTGGCTCTCATGGGCTGCATCCAGACAACAGGTCATGTGACCGACCTGTCCTGAATCTCCTGGGATGGCCCGGGTTTTCACACTGAAAGTCCCACGTTTGGAAGTCTCCTTGGTCCCAGACAAACTGGCACAGTCGGTCACCCTAAGCGTGACCAGGGCCCTTAATAATTGCAGCTTTGGTTACAGGACCTGTTAGGGTCCAGTGATGTGTCAAGGGCCCGAGGTTGGGGAAGCAGCCCTTTCGGCTTGAGGGATGCACAGGAGGTAAAGAAATCTCCATGGAACAACCTATCAATGGGAACAAAGCAGCCTGTGATTACAGCTAACCATCCGGTGCCTAGTCTAGTGGAAATTTTAATAAGTAACGGCAAAAGTTGTATGAAGACATAAAGCCTCGCCCACCGGGGTCTCGAGGCACATCTCCTGCTTTGACTGGAACCTCTGAGACAAGACGCGTGGTGTTCTGAGCCCCGAGGAAGGAAATAAAACTAACAATCTGAGCAAAAATTAGTTTAATGCTTTTATTTCATGCTGTGTTCCCAAACTTGCAAGAAGCCCAGGCACAACAAAGGCAGGGTGTTAATAAAGCCAGAAACATCTTTCAACTCTTAGCACGTATTGAGAAGTAAAAAACAGAATTTTCATTGATTGAGTGGATCTCACCGGGCACCTGTGATGTGTCTGGACTTCACTTAGGAGATCCAATTACGCAGTTCGTTTCCAGGGCGGTGGTAGCTCATCAGCTTGTCAGGCTGCTATTTGTCATCTGTGCCGAGACGTGCCCTGCGCCTCCACGTGTCACTGCAACCCGGCTCCCGGGAGCCCCTCCTGGCTCCCACACGGCCCAATTAGAAGCTTCCATGGACACTCTGGATCCCCGGACACTGAAGCAGCGCCCCCTCCGAGCCTTGGCTTTGAGAACAGAAGGGGCTTCTTGGATGGGTAAACAGGAGAGGGGCAATTTGAGCAGACATGATTCTGGAACCTCGTAAACGTCAGTGTGCAGAGGGTGGGAGACAGACAGATGAGGTCTGCGGGAAGACTGTCCCCCCCCCCCCCCCCCCACGGAGGGGGTCCAGGTGCATTGGTCTGGTCAGACGCACTTCCTGGTACAGAGAGGCTTGTCTGGAAGTGGGAGCTCAGGTAGAATACCCAATTATTTCAGGGTCATGTTTCAGTAAGGGTCTAGGTGACCCATTAAGGTGCACGTAGCCAAGGAGGATGCAGCACTGTCAAGCAAGTAAGGAATTGGGGTGAGCACAGGGGCAAGGGCCCGCAGGAGGGGCCCTGGGCTTTGGGACATCTGCCAGGGCTGGCCAGGGGCGGAGGAGGTCATTCTGGCACTCCTCACAGCGACCCATGTCACGACGTGCACACGTGGCCATACACATGGCCATGGGCAAAGGCCCTGTGGTCAGGAGCATCTCCTCAGGGGGCCAGCTGGGGACGGGTCAGCAGCAGCATTGTCCCATCAAACCATCACCTGCAGCACGAGCCTTGTGAGCCTTTAATGCCTACACAAGAACAACAGTGATGTTAGAGCAGTTTTTGATTTGCAGAATTGTTATGAAGATATTCCAGAATGTTCCACCTGCACCCTGTAGCCCATTTTCACTGATTCCTGCCTTACCAGAGTAGGGTGCATTTTGTAATTAATGAACCAGTCCAGATAGGTTGCTATTAACTAAAGTGCATGCTTTCTTCATAGTTTATTAGTAATTAATGTCCCTTTTCTGCCCCAGGAGCCCTCCTGGCACGCAGCTGTCTTGTCGCTGTAGAACCTTCTTCCTTGTGACAGTTTCTAGGGCTTTCCTTGTTTGTGCTGACCTTGGCCATTTTGGGAACTGGTCAGGCATTTTGTGGAATGTCCCCCTTATTGGCGTTTGCCTGGTGTGTGCATCGTGGTCAGACCAGGTTGTGGGTTTGGGGGGAGGACCCCAGGGTGAAACGCCCTCCCACCCCATCACGTCCAGGCTCGTGCTCCACACCGGACTTGTCCCCGTGACGGTGGCCTTGGTCACCTGGCTGGGGTGCGCATCAGGTCCCAGCTGTACGGTCCCTCTCTTTTCCCCTTTACGGACTGTCGTCTTTGGAAGGAAGCCACTAAGCACAGCCCACAGCCAACACATGGGGAGTTAAGTGCCATGTCCTCGAGGACAGAGTATCCACACATGTGACAGAATTCTGCACGGAGGTTTGCCTTTTCTCCCCCATTCATTTATTTACTCTAATACTCATTTACCCTCGGTTATTCCTATCCATGTGGACTGATGGGTATTCATGATCTGGGTCAGGACCCCATGCTTCATTTCATTGCTCCCACTGCTCCAGCTCTGGCCACTGGGAGCTCTTTCGGCTGGCTCCTGAGTCCCTTGGACAGACCCCATCAGTGTGGGTCATTAGTTTTTGACCCCTTGCTTACTTTCTGGTACTAGAAGGTGACCCAGGTTCATCCTGTGTATTTCTTGCTCAGACCTAGACCCCGCCAGTCGTCCAGGAGCCTGGTTCCTCTTACTGGAGAATGGTCGTAGGAACCAAGATCTGGGTGCTGGGTGTGCTCATTGCTGTTGGGTTGCACTCGCTTCCGGAGCAACAAACCGTGTGTGTGTGTGTGTACTGACTTGTGAATATGTGTGTATCTACAAATGCTTTTGTGTGTAACCATCTGTATCTGTATTCAGCTCAACGTGAGTGCATACTGAGGTCTCCAGTCTGATCCACGGCCACATGGATCCATGCAGTCCCTTCCCTGGCTAATCCATCACCTCCCCACCGATAGTGAGACACCTGGCTGCCACTCTCTGCCATCTGTTTATCTAGTTGTTCAATCCCAGGACCCGTGAATAGTGGTTTCACAGCTGTTGACCTGCACCACACATCAGAGGCCACTTTCTGAGCTGATAGGAGCACAGCGCTTACCTGGGTTTGCTTTGCCTTTTGTCTTGCAGACCACGCCCGTCCGGAAGGCACTTAATTCCCCTCACCTGCCCCCTGCTCCCTCCAGTGAGGCTGTTTCTTACATTTGTAATACAGTTCCAGTCTTGTCACATTCTGCATTCCAAACCAGGATCCCACAGTCTTCTCAATGAATTTTTAAAACTTCATTTAAAAATGTGCATGCATTGAGTTTTACTCTGTGTGCTGTGGAGTTTATGATTTTGACAGATGTTTGATTCCTGTGTTCACTGCACAGGGTCATAGAGAATCGCTTCATCACCTAAAACAATCTTCGGTGCTTTTTACCCATTCCACCCTGCCCGTCTCTGCAACCCCTGGGACCACTGATCTGTTT